GCGTGGCAACCTGCATTGTAATGCCTTGTGATCTACGTCTGTGTAATTACTAGACTCCACAGCAAATCGGCCATTCTCGATACCCTCGCATCGTATACGCTATGTAAAGTGGTAAAACCTTGCTACATCCCTGCCCTCGACACGTTCTGGGCTTGAGAGGCGGGAAATGCGAAGAAGACCTCCGAAGAAACAAGGCGCAGCATCTGCAAAATGCACTTCTTTTTGTAGGGTTTCTGATGAAGTCTCTAAGAGTTTTACAGTTTCTTGGGTCTTGGAATGATCCTGAAAAGATTCCATAGTGAGGGTTCATGCGTGATGTCTGGGCTTCAAAGGTAGTTTCTCGACTGCCACAAGCGGGACAGCAAGCATTTCAGGCTTTCTCATCAAAGATGTTGATCCTACGCAAGGATTTAAGCTGGTGCCACGTCTGAAGTCTATTCGACTCATGAGCCCGAATTCTGACATTTAAGGCTGTCTTCGGGCAGGATACTATCAGGATCCCTCTGGGGCTACAGGCACAAAACCTCAGCAGCTATCCCTGCTGGGGCTAACTCGGGTGTTATCGTTCTGTTTCGGTCAGCAATAGCAGATTGACGGACCCTGTGGCCCCCCCCCCATGCGAAAGCAGTCAGCATGTTCCAAGACCAACAACACGAAGAAACAAAATGTAAGTGGAGTTGTAAGTCCCCTAATATAGGTTATAACTATAGTTACTCTACTTATAAGTCCCCTAATATAGGTTATAACTATAGTTACTCTACTTATAAGTCCCCTAAGATAGGTTATAACTATAGTTACCTTACTTATAACCCTGCTTATAACTGCCCATGCATGCCTCCAAGGTCTCCGTTCGCAAGGAAAGGCTGTCGGGCAAACTGGGCACCTTCACGATCGGCTTGCACTTCTCGCGTCCAGAAGTGATGTAAACCTATAGTCTCCATTGTAGTTCCTTTTTTGGGGGATACCTTATAAAATCCTTAATATACAATCAGTTAAACCAAAAAAAGGAACTACAATGGAGACTATAGGAATAACCATGAGGAACACCAGTATGAGTACTAGCACCAGACACGTACGGCGCTGTGCTCCACCAGCAGGATTGCTGCCATGATTGCTGCTATTATTGATGCGGGTATTGTTGTAGGTAGCATTGGTGTTGGTGTTGGTGATGGCGGCCGCGGTGGTGATGGTTGCGGTGACGGTTGTGGTTGCAGTGGGGGTCGTAATGGGTCGTAGTGGTGGTGGTGGTTGCGGCGGCGGGGGCGGCGTTGGTACGGCTGGTTCCGTTCGTGGCAATAAGCACTGGTGGCGGTGGTGGTTGTTCATGTTGCTGCACAAGCTGCTACTTATTGTTGAAGAAGCAACGGGAAAGCAGATGTCCGTGATTTCAACTCTCCGGCCCGAAGTCTCAGTCTTTGCATTGCGGTGTAAGCATGTTGGAGCTTCGGGTATCTGCGCACTGTTGGGGTCTATCATGTTCGAGGCCTACTGTTGCCCTGGGCTGCAACTTTTTTAAACCCAACAATGAGCGGAATTGAAATCAAGCCGAGATTGCAGCCGTACCAAACTTGTGAACACCGTAAATCCTGCAGTTCCCAAGAGAGCAAAACGAAATGTCCTGCAGCCCTCAACTAAACTTCAAAGCACTGACCATTATGAGTCAATTATGAGCCGCAGTTCCAAAGATGTCAAAGCCTAGCCTTGCAACTCTCTGATTTTATACCCTATCTGGACAGGAACCTATCATATGCACCCGAAACCACCTGACACCTTCCACCCCAAACTTGTTCCTCAAGACCCTAAACCTCAACCTATAACAATGGTACAACCGGGCTCCTATAGCTATAGTTAGTCTAGTAACCTGATTGAGAAACCTTGGAAACCCTAAACCCTAAACCCTAAACCTCGAGTCGGCTGTTCATATGGATCCTACAATAAACTGCCAGGGCCCAAAGCTTGTCTGCCTCGCCAGTGTCATGGGCCTCCCCGAGCTTTCTAGCCTCCTGCGGGTGTTTAGGGTTTAGGGTTTAGGGGTTTAGGGTTTAGGGTTTAGGTTTAGGGTTGAGGGTGCCCTGAACCCCTATCCCTCAACCCCTGAACCCCAAAACCTACGTCACTAGAGCGAACCATGTCTGCTATTATCCTATGAGCCTGCACACGAGCACACACACACACATGTCTGTATATACCTGTATGTACATATGTATATATATATATACATATGTTATATGGCGAGAGAGAGAGAGAGGGAACTATGTATGTATTATATGTATATATATATATATATATGTATATGATGATGCTCCCTGTGGTCTTGCTTGGGCTCCTGGTCCCTCGGCTTCTTTGTCTCCCCCCTCCCGCGTGGGGTGGTGCCTGCAGTGTTCCCATCTGTGAAGGTAGGCAAGAACACCGGCCCTCTCTCCAAGCTTGATTAAATCTAAGTGTGGTGTTTGCCCCAGCATGCCACAAAGCAGACGTTGCAATCTCGGCTGGCATGCTGTGCACGTTGTAATTTTATTGGATTGGCTGCTGAGCACTGAGCAGCTAACAAACCTACAGAAAGTGGCGGTTTTTTCATTTTGTCCGTTGCTGTTGGTGCCTCTGTCGCTGTGGCATGGCATAGCCGTCGCTCCGGTGCACTTGCGAAGCAATGCACTGACACCCGGCGCCTCCTCCTACCCTGTGGTTTGGTGGTGGGTTCTGTTCCGGTGCGACCCGTGTTTTGCAACCTGCCACCACAGACACAATGACCATGATGCAAATCACGATTACGTGCCAGCTGCTTATGCCACGTTTAAGATGAGAAGTTGTCCTGCATGTCGAAAACTGGGGAGCCAGGAGGAACGTGACACCAAAAAGTCCAACCCAGCGACTATTGACGGTTTGGCATCGCGATGTCGATCCCATCCTCCGAAAACGAGGACTGTCACGAGGTTCGTGGCCCCAAGCAGCTCGATCCCTGTGACTGTTGTCGCAGACGGCCATGGGGGGGAGGGGCGGTGACGGCGCGGTGGTCGAGACTTGTCTATGTGACTATACATATCATCTAAAAACCATCTTGTGTGGGCATACATACGTGCATATATAGCTATATCCGTACATATACAGGTGTATATATGTATATGTATGTATGTACTAATGGGCTGCAAATTCCTCTACATATAAACTATGTGTGGCTATGTGTAGCACTGCATGTATACAACCACCGCGTGAGCACAGCTCAGGAACATACATATTAAAGGCGAGCACATGCCGAAGACGCCCTGGAAACAAACTCGTATCATCACCCCCATCTACACGCTCATAGTCATCGTGTAGCAGTTTGGGCGAGGCTCCTGGGCCTGAACGGTCCTTCGCTTCGGCAAGGCCGGCAAGGCGAAGCCATCCACCTGCGAGGTTGCAACGCTCGGAGACTTCAACCGCAAAGGAACTTCAAGCGTCCTTGCGTTACCTCTTGTACAGGAAGGCCACGCCCCGTTGGCGCACGGCCATTCGAGTCTTCAGGCTCAAATTGGAACTTACAGGTGAGGTATACTGATGTAGTACTGGTGCTGATACCCGTTCTGGTAGCAGTACGAGTAATAGAAGAAGACGTAGAAGTAGAGGGGGAACAAGTAGCAGCATTAGGAGTAGTAGTAGTAGTAGTAGTAGTAGTAGTAGCAGCTGTAGCAGTTGTAGCAGTTGTAGCAGTGGGAGCAGTAGCAGTAGCATTAGCAGTAGCAGCAGTAATAGTATAAGTATAAGTATAAGTATAAGTAGTAGTAGTAGTAGTAGTAGTAGTAGTAGTAGTAGCAGCAATAGTAGGAATTGTAATACTAATAATGCTAGTACTCGTCGAAATAGAAATAGTAAACGTAATAGTAGTAGTAGTAGTACTAGTAGTAGTAGTAGTAGTAGTAGTAGTAGAAGTAGTAGTAGTAGTAGTAGTAGTAGTAGTAGTTTTTGTCACCCACAGTAGTAGTAGTAGTAGTAGTAGTAGTAGTAGTAGTAGTAATAGAACTAAACGAAGTAATAGTTGTTGTTGCGGCAGCAGTAGTAGAAGGAGAGGAGAAACGTCGATGGTAGTGGTGCGGCCGTGTTTTGTCCGCGGGTCAAACCTTCCCAAGTTTCGGCCTCCGACTGGTCAGACGTTTGCTTCGAGACGAGCTTGCTTGCCTGCAGCGAGAAGTGATCGTTTGGGGCTTCGGGCTGGGCTTAAAGACCCCCAGCGTCTTCACACGGGTCATGAGCGTTCGCGGAACGTCTGGTAACGTGCTATGAGGGTCTTCAAGCTACGGACTATTATGTCCGCCTGTCCTTGTAAGGGTAATTTTCCTAGCTCGCAATGAAAGCCTTTCAATTTCCATCTCAACCCTGCTCGAATACTGTGCATGACAATACTTGGCCTTGACGAACGTGCAACCTTGCACCCGGTCCGCATCGCCCAAACTGCTCACACTTGGAGACGCTATACAGAGACAGCCAAGGATGCGCGCCTTGATACTTTGCAGAAGTGTTTAGTGTTTCGCACTTTGAAGCCGGGCCGCGCTGATGCTGTTTCCGAAAATGGCCAACACGATGTCTTTTGTCCTGCTGCGGGTACGAACTCTTTAGAGGATAGAAATATGGTACTTGCACTAGGTGAAGATTTCAAAGTTTGGATTTCCGAGGGCCACAGAAGGTGTGTCCTTCAACTGCCAATGACAAATCCCCACGCACAGCTTCCTGTCGTGCTGAGCTTGCAGACGAGCTTGTCTTCGAAGTATGTCAGAGACGGAAACCATCATGTTCTGGACAGGGGCGATGTGGAGGACAATGCATGCGTGCCGGCTCAGGCGGTCATGAAACAGATCCGCATACTTCTATTTCACTGCCGCACTCCGACCATGCTGGAACATTGACGGTCGCCAAGTGAAGCCAGAAAAGTGGTGCTCTTTGCAAAATCTAACAAGCATGACCTCTTTCAATTGCCCAGTAGCATGCAGTCTCCCGGCAAAACCTCTGAGTTCAAGCTGAGCTGCCTTCATGTCAAAGTTCGTGGGCACTCCTCTCACTTTCCTGGGAGGACTTGCTTTCGGAGAATCAGGCAACGCATAGAAATCATGTTTCTTCGTCGGGGTTCCGCCAGAATCCTGTGTCCTGTCCACCTCATTGGTTGTAAAATCCGTGCAATACATGGTCGCCCTAGTGACCCTAGTGCTTGGTAAATCGTGCTCCCGCCGAAATTGCCGTGCTTACTTTGCGAGGTTTTGCAGTAGCAGTTGTTCTCAGGTATGACAGGCAATAGGGCGTGAGTCTACGCTTGCATAACTTATTATCGATTGCTGTTGCTCTTGCAACTTGCTTTGTTGTGGTTTATATCAATTACTGATACTGCTATGCTACTCCTAGGTCCCGGCTTCTAGCGCAGTATCTGGTGGTCTATGCGGTGAAGGGATCGAGAACCCTTAGTGGTTTCGAGGATAATCGCAACAGCTGCGAAATTTGATGATGCAGAGATCTTCATGCCAAAGCCGGATGCAACCAGCATGTCAGTCATCTTCGTAAGGAGTATACGACTGAAAGGAAGACTAGTTACAGCTGTTCTAACCTCAAGAAGTTATCACTAGTCAGCACGACATGTATCTTCCCACCATGCTCTGGGAAGGATACTGAAGAGTCATCCCCCCAGTTGCTTGGTTCCCCGAAGCCCTGCCCTAAACCCTAAACCCTAAACCCTTTTGCTGCAGGCTTGCAAGCAACAACGCCTGGTAGTTAGCCACTAAACCCTAAACCCTAAAACCTGAACCCTAAACCCTAAACCCTACCCACGGGCTTCCTGGGCATAAGGCCGATGCCATTCAGATAAGTTTGAGGGCTTGGAGTACTGGCTTCAAGTCTTGTATTATTCACGGTTTAGGGTTTAGGGTTTAGGGTGTAGGGATTATGCATTAACTCTACACTTAGTTCAACTCAATGGTCCCCGAACTCTGCGCCCTAAACATCAGGGATAGAGATTATGCCAGCACTGGACTTCACACTCTCGTGGAAGGTGAGGAAGCTGATCTGGCCGACCCCTTCCTGCCAGGCTTTGTGAGATTTGGGCCTGCCGGGACCTCTAAGCCTGCCGTGGGAGCCTTAATAATTGCAACAGGGTCTTGGGGTATATTATAGTATAGGAACTGCCGTTCAAGAAACCTGAGGAATAGATAGTATTGTGAGGTATTCCTAATCCTTCCGACCCCCATAGCACGCCATAGCACGCTTCTTTGGCTGACATCTATCCGTTGCAGGCATTCGACACGTCGAACTTGACCGAAACGCACCAGCGAGCCAGGCAACAGCGACGACGAAGGCAGCAGTCTAAGGCATGTCTCGATCCTTGATCACCAAACACAGGAAGCCGAAATTCGCCAAGTCCAAGATGGACCCCGAAGCCTCATCGAGGATGTCGAAAAGCTCCTCAGGCTGCTCCGCCGGGACCTGCGTTGCTGTCGGGGTAGCATTCTTCCCTCGAAGCCAAGTCTCTTTTCGGGGATGGTTCAGGGTTTTGGTTTAGGGTCATCCGCCTTTCTTCGACCGTAAGAAGTCGCACTACTCTAACTAACTCGGAAGGATCGACCAGGAACCAGCAAGCAACCTCTCCATGTTCATCACAACACAAAACCAGTACTCCCAAGACTCCCTCCACCCGTCCATGTCTCCATTTGAGGGTTTAGGAAAGTTCAGGGCTTAGGGCTCAAATATCGTTCTCTTGGTACCTCCCTAACTTTCGAACCCCTACATACCCTGAACCCTGAAGGTAGGGCACATGAAAGGCTGGAGCATAGGCTATATTGGAAATAGCCCCCTGCTTGAGAGACCGAAGGATAATGGATATAAGGGGTTTAAGTTGGAGGTCTTGCCTGTTTGTTCTGAACACTAGCCTACCACCACCTTGAAGACAGTGATGATGCTCCGAAAGCGACAACATGCCATGGGGGTTCACGTGTGCCCTTGCCTCCATGCGGAGCAGCGCATTCTTGACCTCTGGTCTTTGGCCTTGCATACTCTCGGGGAGGTGTACAGTCTGGGGTAGGAACCAAGAGGTGACTGTGGTGGAGAGACGGCTGAGGCTTCCCACTTCAGCGGCTCGGCAACACTCCCTAAACCCTGAACCTCTACTAACTGCACTATACTAGCCTGAAGGACCTGCAGAGGGAATAAGTGACGAAAGCACACCTCCAGTACATTGACATGACAACCTCCGAGCAAAACCTCTTCCACACAGTTTCAGATTCAGCCCTTTTGCAACAGGCTTTCCAGATTCAGCCCTAAACCCTAAACCCTAACAAACCCTAAACTGTTTGGGACTTGCGGTCATGGAATCTGTTGCTCAGTGTCTGAGTGCACTCATGTATGACACAAGAGCGGCCGAATCTCTGCTAAGCCCTAGCATGGGGTCTAGGGTTTATAATAGGGCTTATAAGGTTTAGGGTTTAGGGTTGAGGTGCTGAAATCACTTTTTTTGGTCATTGACCTGACTCATTATTTATTTGATATCCTAAATTCTTAACAGACATTCCTGAAGACAGGCTGCATATGTCGACGAACTCCTCACGGTCGAGGGTTCCGCTGCCGTCCGAGTCAGCGGACTGCGACCACATGTTAAGCTGGATTCTTTTAGGGTTTAGGGTTTTTTGGAGTTGCTTTGAGTTACCATAGTAGAGACCTATAGTAATTGAAACATTTTCCTTTTCATGAAGGCCCCATTAAGTTCCTTAACGAGAACCCAGCAAGTTCAGGGTTTTCGCGGAAATCCGTGTCAACGAACCACGAGAGCATGGTTGGCTCGCTCGGGGTATGCCTGGACTGGCTCACAGGTTAAGTTTCGCAACTTGAAACCATGTATGTATCTGTATACCTATAAAGCAAAACATGTACATTTGTAGACATCTATATACATAAATATTGCATACATATACACACACATACTTATACATATATATATATATATCAACATATATTTCATCGCCCGAAGCCACACCGGGTCTCGAGCTTCCTTCTCCCACCCCAACTGCATCTCCGAAGCCATCAGTACGACGGTTTGGACTGTCGCGACTCTGATGGTTTAGGGTTTAGGGTTCACTAATTAGGGTTTAAGGATTATGCGTTCATGGGTTTAGGGCTACCTTCGACCCTGCCTACTGACCGCCTCTACTCGCTGGCCCACCGAAAGGCAGGGTCGGAGGAGGCTAACGGAGGGGGGCTTAGCCGTGGATTTAAGCACGAATTATCCTTCCGGATGGGGGCTTGGGGTGAGAGTTTAGGCTTTCTCTGGTGGTAACTAATCCTTGCAATACCAGGAGCAGCTAATTACTTTAGTAGCCGATGGATCGTTAGTCTTTGGCACACTTTACCATGGCAGTGACTCGTAGTGCCCACGTCTTGACGGCATTTCTGTCACGCATCGTACCCTAACCAACCAGGTACCTACTATATAGGGCCTTAGGGGCTCTAGTACCCCATATAGTAGGTACCTGGGGGGTTAGGGGTAATCTTCGTTCGCCATTGATTTGCCCGGCTCCTTCCACGTGCCGTTACGAAAGCTGTTCTTGTTTGGACTTCTGCATGCCGACGTTGTGAGTCGTTCCAAAGGCCATCATCGGAGGTTCTCCAATCGCCCCTGGCCTTCCGAAGCCACCAGGCAGCTTATGCTGCTTGCAACATAACACATGGGATGGAATATCCAAAACAGCATTGTCGGAATGCGACTACTAACTATTACTAACTATTCAGACCCTGATGCTAAATCAGAACATTCATCCTATACACCAAAGTATGCCAAAAACCAACCAATGATGGTTCGGATCCCTCCTGCGGCCCTACCAGCCTCAAAAACCTCCTTCAAGAACTCCAACTCTTGGAGGAGTTGACGCTGAAATCTGCGGTCCTGGAGATCCTTCAGGCGAGTGAGGACGCTTTCTCCCTTTGCTACGCAGATGCCACGCCGCGATGGAAGTTGCGTTGTCTGGCTTTCTGGTTTGCTTTTACTTCATTGACGGTGTATGCACCGGTCCTGGTCAGATGATGCGATGTTCAGCGTGTTCTCCACGATGACGCCTAGCAATCATGTTGCAATGCAAGACTTGCAGCATTGAAGCCCCTCGCTGCCTTGTCCTACCCAAGATGCGCCGCATGCAGGCCCCATATATAATCAGTCCTAAGAGGGGCGATATCCCCGATCTGGTCACCAGGCAGTCTCTGCAGCTCTCAGCGCCTACGATGATGTTCAGCAGGCCAAAGGTGGTCAGGAAAATATACCTCAGGGCTCACTACCTATAGTCTCCATTGTAATTCCTTTTGGGAGATACCTTATAAAATCCTTAATATATACTTGGTGAACCAAAAAAAGGAACTACAATTGCAGACTATAGGTAGAGATGGCTTCTCAACCTTTGGAAGCCAATAAGCACTTAGCTGTGAGCAGAAGTCATCGTAGCATTTCGAGGTGCCCTTACTGCAATACAGTAGAAGCTCAAAAATTGGAAACCCAACAGCCTCGATCCTTAAGAGTCATGTATAGGAATTTATGGGGAATCCCAGCACTAATTGTCCTTAACTCGGAATTCCAACCTTTTCGGGGTTTACTATACCCTAAACCCTAAACCCTAAACGCCAATGCAGATTCCGAGGTGCAGCAGCAAGACCGGGAACAACAATGGCTGACGCTCCACCAAAGGTCGGCCCACCGTCATGTTCCAGGATTCCTGCGGGATCGGTTTAGGGCTTAGGGTTTAGGGAGCACGCTGCGCGTCGGGTGTCGATGCGGGTGCTTCCCTTAAGGGCCGAACTGCAGAGGCCTGACTCCAGAATCGTAGGGGCTCGTTCGATACAGCCTTTCCAGTGGGTTAGGATTTGAGTAGGCCCTTTCCCGGATGGAGTCAGCACCAAGCTGGGCAAAGCCAGCATGTAGTTTCGATAAAGAAACATCGAGTCTCTAAAGTGGTCCGAATGTGGACTAGATTGCCTCCAGTACTTCCCAAACTGGCACAACTTACATGGAAGCGGTCCAGCGTAACAACCTGCACCAGGGTGTACATAGTCCTCGGAATGGTACCTGAGACAGTTGCCCACAAGCATGGCCTAACGGATGCATGCCCCGAATCCCATCATCTTCAACATGCCGGCAGCCAGCCCTGACATGCAAAACCTTGCAAGCTAAACCCTGAAGCCTAAACCCTAATCAAAACCCAATTTCGATTCTCGATGTCATCCCCGATAACAATCAAAGTATATAGAATGTGGACCCTGAGCGCACAGCACTCACTGAATCACTGAGCTCAGTTGTTGTTCAGTGCTGCTTCCCGAATTCGTAGAAACTCTTTCATTTTCTGACCATGCCTAAATTTTCTCTTCTTTCTGCGTACTCTAGCGATCCGTCCAAGAGGTCTCAGTATCCTCCACCCGACACCCTGAAAAGTATAGAGCAAACCTCTAAACCCTAAACCCTCCTTCCTTGAAACTCTGAAACCCAAAGTTCTAAAAGCGAGCCCCTTGACACTTACAAACGACACGCCCTTCTCCCCAAAAGCCGAATACCGAAACGTAGTCGGCGTAGAGAGGGCCATCTAATCCCAAATTTGATACCCGTCCAACTATGTCGGGTGAAATCCCAGAAGATGCCTCTTTGGCCCTAGCTACTAAGAACAGGTTTTGGGTTTGGGGATTTGAGGTTTGGGATTTAGCGTTTTGGGCTTTTTTGGGGGACAATGATTCCAGTCTGATCCTACTAGGGAGTTCTGAGAATCTGAGCCAGTACATGTTCAGGCCACCTTTAATCCTAGATCACTAAACCCCTCAAGCCCCAAATCTTAACACCCTAAATCCCTGAACCCCTAAACCCTAGATCCCAAAACCGCAAACACTCAACTCCAAAACCTTCTTGCATTAGAACCCCTCAACCCCAAAGCCCGAAACCCCCAAAGCCCCCAAAAAGGATCTACCCTAAACCCTAAACCCTAAACTCTAAACCGTCTGCTGCCGCAAGGTGCCGAAAAAAGCCTCGCAGTCGCTCCAGTCGGCGAAGCTCCCCTTGCAGTCCACAGCCAGACGTAAACCTGGGGTCTAGGGTTTAGGGTTTGGGGTCCAGGGTTTAGGGTTTAGGGTTTAGGGTACCTATAGTCTCCATTGTAGTTCCTTTTTTTGGTTTAACCAATTATATATTAAGGATTTTGTAAGGTATCCCCCAAAAGGAACTACAATGGAGACTATAGGTAGGGTACTAGAGCCCCTTT